TACGATTGTAAGACATGTGCATAAAAGTGAAAGCTCAAATAAATATGAAAAATATAACAAAGGGATAGCGTCATTTTCCAACAACAAATATAAAAGAGTTCCGTGGAACCCTGTGTCTCGCCTGCGACTGCTGCTGACAGTGTCAAAGTGTAATGTTGACTGACAAATCATGGAAGTATTATATAGTCAATATAATACTTCCATGGACAAATCAAATATAAGATAGGAAATTTGGGGACAATTGATAAGTGTCAACGAGACAACTCTCCGCCAGACACCAAAGGACGAAGTCAACTACAGGTCACAATACTGACTTATACAACGAGAATATAAATTGACAAATGCCTTTGACTACTAGTAAATCATGTTTTAGTGGAACAGAAATGATAGGGTTCATCAGTTACTGTTGTCTCTAAATATAGTATTCGATGAATCATTTTCATTGTCAGTTTGTTCCTCAACCCCATGTTCACGGAAATGACGGTGGTTGTACAGTATAATTTACAACGAAATTATTAAATAAGCTATAACAGGTTCTGGCATAGACTTATTTATGCTTAAAACAGTCATACACTGAGATCAACACAAGAGTGCACACGCTGAAATGTCTCGCCTTCTTTATTAATCATTGATATTATGTTGATAGTCCTAAATATAAAGCTTTATTACAACTGTCACATAAACTTAACATTAACCAAAAAACTAAACATTGACCAATGAACCATGAAAATGAGGTCAAGGTCAGATGAACCATGCCAGGCAGACATGGACAGCTAACAATTCTTCCATACAGCAAATATAGTTGACCTATTGCTTATAGTTTAAGAAAAACAGACCATAACACAAAAACTTAACACTGAGCAATGAACCGTGAAAATGAGGTCAAGGTCAAATAAAACCTGTGCGACCGACATATAGATCATAAAATATTTCCATATACCAAATATAGTTGACCTATTGCATATAGTATTAGAAAAAAAGACCAAAACTCAAAAACTTAACTTTGACCACTGAACCATGAAAATTAGGTCAAGGTCAAATGAAACCTGCCAGCTAGACATGTACACCTTACAATCATTCCATACACCAAATATAGTAGACCTATTGCGTACAGTATAAGAAAAACAGACCAAAACACAATAAAATGCTCCGCAGGGCGCAGCTTCATACGACCGCATCGGTCGAACCCTGAACAGTTGGGGCAAGTATGGACACAACATTCAAGCTTGATACAGCTTTGCATTTGGATTGTGATTAAATATTTGACACATCATAGGTTTCTGACACAGAATGAATGTGGTCTAAGAACTTAAAAATTTTAAATTGGACATTCACCTATTATGGTCCAATATCCAAAATCTAAATACATGGTTAGATTCAGCATATCAAAGAACCCCAAGAATTCAATTTTTGATGAAATCAAACAAAGTTTAATTTTGGACCCTTTTGACCTCAATGTGGACAAAGTTGATAAGGGGGCCCAAAAATCAAAAATCTAAATACATGGTTAGATTCAGCATATCAAAGAACCCCAAGAATTCAATTTTTGATGAAATCAAACAAAGTTTAATTTTTGACCCTTTTGACCTCAATGTGGACAAAGTTGATAACGGGGCCCAAAAATCAAAAGTCTAAATACATGTTTAGATTCAGCATATCAAAGAACCCTAAGAATTCAATTTTTGTTAAAATCAAACTAAGTTTAATTTTGGACCCTTTGGACCTTAATGTAGACCAATTTGAAAACGGAACCAAAAATTAAGAATCTAAATACACGGTTAGATTCGGCATATCAAAGAACCCCAATAATTCAATTTTTGATGAAATCAAACAAAGTTTAATTTTGGACCCTTTGGACCTCAATGTGGACCAATTTAAAAACGGGGCCCAAAATCCAAAAACTGAATACACGGTACGATTCAGCATATTAAAAAACCCCAAGAATTCAAGAATAAAACCCCATTGAAATTGGTCAAGAAATAATCAATTTATACGAAGTATCTTCTCTTGCACAATACTGTGCAATTAAATATTTCTTGCTATTGCGCAATACTGTACAATTGACAATTTCTTGCTATTGCGCAATATTGTGCTATTGGATATTTCTTGCTATTGCGCAATACTGTGCAATTGAAGATTTCTTGCTATTGTGCAATACTGTGCAATTGAAGATTTCTTGCTATTGTGCAATACTGTGCAATTGAAAATTTCTTGCTATTGCACAATACTTATTATATAATAATTTACACATCCTGTTTGGTGTGTATCTCCTACCATATCATTATTATTTGCTTTTAAATATAAATCAGAAATAACCAACTTAAAATGGAAAATTTTAAAAGAATAAAAAAAGGAAAAAAAGAAAAAAAAAGGAAAAAAAAAAATCCCCCCCCCCCAAATTTTTTGAACCCCCTTATGATTCATCACCCCCAAACTCAATCCCAGCCTTCCCTTTGTGGTATGGTACCTTGCAGTACAATTTCAGAGAGATCCATACACTTGAACACAAGTTATTGTCTGGAAACTAGAAAAATATGTTTTTTGGCCCCTTTTTGGCCCCAAATTCCTAAACGTTTAGGGCAATTACCCCCAAACTCAAACCCAGCTTTCCCTTTGTGATATGGAACCTTGTAGTACAATTTCAGAAAGATCCATACACTTACACACAAGTTATTGTCCTGAAACTAGAAAAATGCTTGTTTTTTGCCCCTTTTTGGCCCCTAATTCCTAAAATTTTGAGGCAATTACCCCCATCATCAATCCCAGCCTTCCCTTTGTGGTATGGTACCTTGCAGTACAATTTCAGAGAGATCCATACACTTGAACACAAGTTATTGTCTGGAAACTAGAAAAATGTGTTTTTTGGCCCCTTTTTGGCCCCCAATTCCTAAACGTTTCGGCAATTACCCCCAAACTCAATTCCAGCTTTCCCTTTGTGATATGGAACCTTGTAGTAAAATTTCAGAAAGATCCATACACTTACACACAAGTTATTGTCATGAAACTAGAAAAATGCTTGTTTTTTGCCCCTTTTTTGGCCCCTAATTCCTAAAATTTTGAGGCAATTACCCCCAAAATCAATCCCAGCATTCCTTTTGTGATATGGAACCTTGTGGTACAATGTCAGAGAGATCCATACACTAACACACAAGTTATGTCTGGAAGTTACAAAAATGCTTATTTTTGGCCCCTAATTCCTTTACTGTTGGTACCATAACCCCCAAAATCAATCCCAACCTTCCTTTTGTGGTATTGAACCTTGTGGTAAAATTTCATAGAGATCCATTCACTTAAACTAAAGTTAGAGTGCGAAAACCAATGTGTCTTCGGACGACGCCGGACGACGACGACGACGACGCCAACGTCATACCAATATACGACCACAAAAATTTTTTTGCGGTCGTATAAAAACTTAACTATAACCACTTAACCATGAAAATGAGGTTAAGATCAGATGACACCTGCCAGTTGGACATGTACACCTTGCAGTCCTTCCATACACCAAATATACTAGACCTATTGCTTAAAGTATCTGCGATATGGACTTGACCACCAAAACTTAACCTTGTTCACTGATCCATGAAATGAGGTCAAGGTCAAGTGAAAACTGTCTGACGGGCATGTGGACCTTGCAAGGTACGCACATACTAAATATAGTTATCCTATTACTCATAATAAGAAAGAAATTAACATTACAAAAAATGCTTTTAAATTGTTAGCTAACGCCGCCGCCGCCGGATCACTATCCCTATGTTGAGCTTTCTGCGACAAAAGTCGCAGACTCGACAAAAAATGATATTTTGGTCATATATAATATGGTGGTCAATAATGTTCTGGCCAGGAAGATGCACATAGATCAATATCAGCGACACAGGCTCTTTAGAGCCTTAAGTTCCATTTTTTTTTTCTATTTTTATTAACAGTGACCATAAACTTTGATCTATTGACACAAAAATCAATAAGCATCTTCCACTAAACCATATATCTTCCATCAGTACAAGTGTCATTCCAATCAAGGGAAACTCAACTTACCATCCATCAACCATTAGTCCATTTTTCCCAATTTTTTGAAATAGTAGCCTTGAACTTTGACATATTAGCCTCAATATTATTGTTTCTGCCCCTTCTCTATATCCTCCATATGTATAGTTTAAAATTCAACCAAATGATTTTTGCTAACTCGTCATTTGGTCTCTTGTTCAAATTTATTTCATTTGCAATCATACCACAACTTCTTATTTTTATAAAGGAAAACTAAAGTTATCACCCAGAAACTATTTGTTTCAGACATACCGATGGATAAACAGACAGATTAGAGATCAAAGCAATGACTATAATATTCTATGAGACAGGATCTACAAAGAGGGTGGTAAAGGGTTATTTTTGTGCAACGTGTTTTGCCATTTTTATTTCACGTGCAGCCGTGAAAAAGGTTCGTTATTCACTGTGTTTCATAAAATTGGTAAAAAGATCAACGTGCAAGAAATTTTTAATTGTTCGTTCATCGTGAAATGGCAATTTTATTTCGCGTTCTTCCGTGCAGATAACTTCCCTTTACGCCCCTCTAAAAAGTTGGTCAACCAAAACAGTAGGTCAGAATTTTGCATGTTGAATTTTGACTGCATATTGAAAATATGTTGGATAGGGGAAGAAATTTTGCATTGGGACACCCCGTTAATGGACCCCTCAGAATAATGCCTCATAGTTGTTGCAAGCAGTCTTCAAGTGCAGAGAGCATGTCACTCTCTCTAAAGAAGACATTGAATTATAAATTTCCAATCAAGGCTGAGTATTTATAGATCCAACACAGCCAAACAGATGCTCCTCTTTAGCATGACTTTTACTGCCAGATGGAAAAAGTCAAGGGAAGACCATATTTCTATACTCTTGTATAACACTGAAGCTTGAAATATTTTTATGAAAATGTTTTGACTCAAACATACCAGTGATTTGAAAGAGTTGTGTCCCTTACTCTAGATTTAATTATCATAACAAAAACAGATTTTTAAACTTTTATTTCCACAGTGATCTCATGTAGAGTATAAACACACTGCTTAGCACTGAGCTTATCATTTTGGCAGGCAAAATCACTATAGTTATATAATTAACAAATAAATAAATAATAACAATGATGAAAACAATTGCAAAATTGCACAATTTGAAAGTAATGCTTGATTTATAATTTGAGAAACAAATGACCTATTGATAAAAACAAGAATGGTAAAGATATTCAAACAGGCATTATTAATTTAGTCATATGCAAGTTCTTGCATAAATACATAATTTTTTAAAAGTACTATTTTTTTACTTTGCACCTGATCTATGTTTTTCCTAAAAATTCAAATACATTAAGATTTAAAAAAAACACAGAAGAGAAATGGTTTCTAAGCCTAACATTTTGTCCTGTGTCTTTGATCTCTTGTTCATATCAACTTTAAAAAAAATTATAACATTTTTACATACTGCATATTACATTACACCAAAGAATATAAACAGAATAGACCTGACGGTCATACAATTTTAATATCCTTACATTGTAAACTATAAAATAAAACTGTTAAGTTTTACTCCCCTGGACACAATATTAAAATTTTGAAAACTCTACGTCAAATCTTATCACATCAGAATTAATGAGACTGTGCATAAGTAAAAGCTTGATTTTAAAACTTGTCCCATATATTTATATAAATCATTTTGGGTATTATTTAAATGTTGCATTCATTTGCATAATTTGACAACCCTGCATACCAAGGTATTCACTTCAGGGACTCAATCGAAATGATTCACACAGGCATTGGTTCACCAGATGGAGTTTAATTCATTATTTACTTGTGAATATTAAACTAAAGAATAAACTAATCTTTTCTATTTGCTTCTGAATTTTATAACTGAAAACAGAAATTCTAATGAAAATTAATTAATGCTAAATTTTTATGAATTTATTGTTAATGTATTCATATTAATGGGACTAAAAATACCTGAAATTTCATTTCACTTCAGCAGTTGGATATTCCAACCAGAAGCAAATTGGAAATTCGATTCAAGTTAGCTATTTCTACATTATTTTCTCTTCGATAGAAATGACAATTTGACAATTTTATTATATTACATTTAATGAAAATATTGTTATTTTTGTAAGAACTATTTTCCATAATGAGTCCATTTGTGTTACAATACTTATTCTTTCTCAAAATGATGTTGACATTTTTTATTAAATTCTTGTATAATCAAATGTGTATTACAGGGGCTTATATGTCGTTTTTTTACAAAAATAGATTAAATAATGCAACTGTTAAAATAAAGATCTTACATTTTATTTAATTTTTTTAAATTCAATCTGAATAAAATACAAATCCTGTGTCTCCCGTTTACTTACGAGTATCTTACAATTTCTGTTCTGATATTCAAGTCAACCAATGAAATTTCTGCCTCAAATATTTGAACATTTGTATCATTATCATAAAATCTGAGGATGCCCATAAAGGTCATCAAAATAGAAAGTTAAACAGAGCAGCCTCAGATCCTTTACTGGAAATCACAGAAGTTCCTGTAAAATTTTGAGTTCACAAGAGAAAAAGTGATTGTTGTATGACGTCAATAGTTCAAGTGTCGCAAATTCTGGGTTTAAATGGCGCAGATCCCCAAATAGCGATAAGGTCTATAGTGGACACAGGAGCTGTATTTCAGTCCGATTTTTTTAAATTGTGTCATAATGAAGATGACTATTGCTTTCCATTGCAAAATCATTTGCTATGTAAGATTGACAGGTCAAATTATAATGAGGATTTTATGATCTGTCTGGACACTCAGTTTTATGCACTTATACACAAACTGATGTCAGACTTACATTTTATATACTGGTCAGTAGGCAATTACAATTTTCTTTTGAAAATTCAAGTTTGTTAGCAGATGAATGATCTGACCTTTGTTGAGTAAGTAAGTGCTAAGAATGTTTTTAGTAATATCAAATGCGAGAGTAATCCTAATGCAAAATAGCTTCTTTAGTCATAAGGGACTGTAATATCAAATTGAGGTTTTAAGGGTTTTTTTTGTGTCAAGGATGGGCTAAAAATATAATATGATATATATATGTTTCCTGATATATAGGATAAAAATTGAGGTTCATTGATTATTAAGTTTTCATTTGTAACTTTTTTTACATCAAAAAAGAAATATAAAATCATTAATCTTGACTTAAGACAGTGTTAATCTATGATTACCTGTACCTCAACTAGTTGAGGGTCACCTTTACAGTAAATAAGGACGAGTAGCCTCAGAAGACATATTTTTGTTTATTTGGCCTTATTGATGAAAAGTAAAAATTTCTGTGACTTTCAAGTTGGTTTGTAATGGAAACAATACAACAGATGACAATTTATTCCCTAAGAAAAAGACTATGTATCAAAATATTCTATAAAAATACCATCACTAAAGCTATCCGCCTGCGAAAAAAGCCAGCAGACGGTAAAAATTATATGAAACATGATGCATGAATGTCTCGAGAATTGACTAGAATATTTCATAAATACAATTATGACATATAAAGGTATCATTATGTACAAATAAAGTCACAGTTACAAATTACTACAAAGATTCTCTTATAGAAATCAATAGTATAATCTGACACAGAATGACACACCAGGGATAATGCTCAACCATACTGAAGTAATAAACAATAAAAACACAACCATCAACACTAGAAGCTTTTACCTAATTCTTTTTTTACATTATTTGAAGAGTAGATGCAAGAAACGTTCTTTTATAACTTATAACAATCGTTTCATTTTTTTATTGCATTTGAAAGGTTATTGTTTATAATGATAAACCAAAAATCTTTCTAACTGAATTTTCTAAAATCTAAATCACATTTGGAAACCTCTAGCACGACATGAAATGACATGACATGCCAAAATGCAAGTAAAAACTCATGCCGTGATTTTTGGCTCTTAAAATCATACAATTTAAATTCACTTAAATTACTAGGAAATAACAGATTGATGAAAGCTTTCATTGATGTTAATCAAATATTTAATGGAAAATCTTCAACAGTAATCTGTAAGACCTGTTCTAGTAAAAAATATCTGGGAGTCTTATAAAAGACACTTGCAGATAGATTTTTATGGTTGGTTGTGTCTTGAATATATTTTAGCATTAAGATTAGAGGGGGCTATTATTTGATGTGCAAATACGTTAATATCTTTCCATTTGCTTAAGGTGGTACATAACAATACAGGGAGATAACTCTGTTAAAAATCAGATGAACGTTTTAATCACGTTCTATTGTTAAGGAAATATTAGGCTTCTCAAAGATCAAAATTAGTGTTTGTCAAACTGCTATATATATCCAATGAAATTTTTTCAATAATGCGTGTGGTTCAAGTTATTTGAAATTTTATATTTTTGTAAAAGGGTCAAAGTAAATATTTTGTCAAAATTTTATGAAAATTAAACGAGCCAAATTAATTTTAGTCAAGGTGTTTGGTACCACCTTAACTCGTCACAAAGATTCAGCAGGTGAAAAATTTCCAGTAATATGTCTTTCAAACCTCTATGTTGAAACAACCACAATACAAGAACTCCTCTATGGCAATTACTATTTTTGTTCCGTCTAAAAAAAATTCACTGATAAAACTTTTCAGGTGTGGAGGTCAAAATGTTTGAATTTAGGTATATCTTGTGTAAAATCACCTCGTATATGCCTCACATATGGAATGGTAATTTCAATAGTAGCTGTAGTAGTTCTGAATCAAACCATCTCATTTGAGCAATACTGAGATAAACATTTTACATTGTAAAGGTGAATAAGGAGTCTAAATTGCAAATGAACAGTCTATGTTTTTACTGATATTAGCAAATAAAAATGTTCATGGATATGAAATTTTAAATCTTTGTTATATCAGGGGAGATAATGCATATAATTTACTTTTATGAAGGAATCTACAGTAAATTTACTTATTTTGTTATGAAGCAAGAAAAAGAATATGCTGATCCCAATTTTTCTTTTTCTTTATTGGAAAGTACTTTATAAGAGCTATCTTCTCATATTTCATTTTAATATAACATCGTGTAGTTTTCTTTTCTATTCACAAAAAAATGCTTTTTTCCATGTATAATCTTTACTAATGAAATAGTAACTTATGGTAAAATAATCATATAAATAGGCACTTATTTGACATAATGGAGAAATATTATCAAAGAATGCTTACAAATCAAATACCAAGAGTAAAACTATGATGTAGTCTACTTATAAAAAGTCTAGCTGGTCTTTAACAAAACTGGCCATCATTAAAATAAACCAGCACTTTCTATCATGTATTATAAAATTTACTGTAACACTTTTGACAAGTTACTTTTGTTTATTTTGTGTTTCATCAATTTGGATTTTTGGGGAAATAAAATTTTCTGACTGAGTATTACTAAGTTAGATGTCACTCGGCTGAAATAGACCCCAAAAAACAGGCTGTTGTACTTCAGAGCAATCTAGGATTTCCATATCCAACAGCCTCAACCAGTCCATATGACACCACAGCAATGAATCTCTTACTCAAACAGCTCCTCACAGCAATGAATCTCTGACTCAAACAGCTCCAACCCGTCCATATGACAACTCAGCAATGAATCTCTTGACTCAAACAACTTCAACCAGTCCCCAAAACACTATTAAACCTATAGAAGATAGAGTTTGCACACGTCTCCTTATTATGGACAGGTATTTTGAAATTTATCATAAAAAAAATTGTTCCCAAATCCTACATAAACATAATAAATATGATGTATATATTTTTAAGCTTCTACATCTTGGCAGTGATACATTCTTGCATGAATTACATATCAAGTACATTATGCGGTGCTATTTTAGACAGATTTCCTTGTGCTATTTATAGCTGGTCATAAATCAAAAGCTAATTACAAGACACATACCAATGTATATAGATTAATAAGCTGACAACAATAAGTTTATAATTTTCATAGTATTACATTTTTAATAATATACATGTTCTTGTTTTGGACCAATGTCAATAGAATCTGATATACATTCAAATTTAAAAAAGACTACAATTGTTCTTTTTACAATTAATGAATATTATTTTGAACCACTATAGCCTTAGCATGAATACCTATCGTTTTTGTTTTTTCAATTCAAAAACATTGTAATTGTTTGACCTTGAAAAACTGTCACTTAAATTGAAGGGCTGATAATTTTAACAAGATCAATAAACTTTTTCAAGTATTTAGCTTTGTACAGGGAGAAAGTAAAAAAACATTAATAATTGAAAATAGATGTATAATGAGACAGAATCCCAACAATAAAAGTTCACCAAAAAAAGAGAAAAATATTCTGTTCATAAAATCATAATCATATAGACTAACATGGTGATAACAGCTTCATTCTGACATTGGGATAAATATGATTTTAAATACATGAACAAGTATGTATATTCATCATAAATTATGATTTAACACTTTATACTTTGAACAAAAAATATATATAGCACTTTGTGATTGGATATGATTCTGTACAAGTGATTTCTCTTTCAATAATATGGGTACATCTTATACATACTGTGGATTCATTTATTTCCATGGGTTTCAATTTTCATTGACTGATGAAACATTTAACTTTCGCAGATACTTGACTTCATGGTTTTGACAAATTCTGCATGAAACAACCAATCAGAATTCTGTATTTTGTTGAACTCTAAAACTTCATATTTCACATATACTCTGAAAATCCATGAAAATTAGAACCAAAAGCAAATAAAATGCTACGCAGGGCGCAGCTTGATACAACCGCAGAGGTCGAACCCTGAACAGTTGGGGCAAGTATGGACACAACATTCAAGCTTGATACAGCTTTGCATTTGGATTGTGATTAAATATTTGACACAGCATAGGTTTCTGACACAGAATGAATGTGGTCTAAGAACTTAAAAATTTTAAATTGGACATTCACCTATTATGGTCCAATATCCAAAATCTAAATACATGGTTAGATTCAGCATATCAAAGAACCCCATATATTCAATTTTTGTTGAAATCAAACAAATTTTAATTTTGGACCCCGATTTGGACCAACTTGAAAACTGAGCCCATAATCAAAAATCTAAATACATGTTTAGATTCAGCATATCAAAGAACCCTAAGAATTCAATTTTTGTTAAAATCAAACTAAGTTTAATTTTGGACCCTTTGGACCTTAATGAAGACCAATTTGAAAACGGAACCAAAAATTAAGAATCTAAATACACGGTTAGATTCGGCATATCAAAGAACCCCAATAATTCAATTTTTGATGAAATCAAACAAAGTTTAATTTTGGACCCTTTAGACCTCAATGTGGACCAATTTAAAAACTAGCCCAAAATCCAAAAACTAAATACATGGTTAGATTCAGCATATTAAAGAACCCCAAGAATTCAAGAATAAAACCCCATTGAAATTGGTCAAGAAATAAGCAATTTATACAAAGTATCTTCATTTGCACAATACTGTGCAATTAAATATTTCTTGCTATTGCGCAATACTGTACAATTGACAATTTCTTGCTATTGCGCAATATTGTGCTATTGGATATTTCTTGCTATTGCGCAATACTGTGCAATTGAAGATTTCTTGCTATTGTGCAGTACTGTGCAATTGAAAATTTCTTGCTATTGCACAATACTTATTATATAATAATTTACACATCCTGTTTGGTGTGTATCTCCTACCATATCATTATTTTTTGCTTTTAAATATAAATCAGAAATAACCAACTTAAAATGGAAAATTTTAAAAGAAAAAATAGGAAAAAAAAAAAAATCCCCCCCCCCCCCAAATTTTTTGAACCCCCTTATGATTCATCACACCCAAACTCAATCCCAGCCTTCCCTTTGTGGTATGGTACCTTGCAGTACAATTTCAGAGAGATCCATACACTTGAACACAAGTTATTGTCTGGAAACTAGAAAAATGCTTATTTTTGGCCCCTTTTTGGCCCCCCATTCCTAAACGTTTCGGCAATTACCCCCAAACTCAATTCCAGCTTTCCCTTTGTGATATGGAACCTTGTAGTACAATTTCATAAAGATCCATACACTTACACACAAGTTATTGTCATGAAACTAGAAAAATGCTTGTTTTTTGCCCCTTTTTTGGCCCCTATTTCCTAAAATTTTGAGGCAATTACCCCCAAAATCAATCCCAGCATTCCTTTTGTGATATGGAACCTTGTGGTACAATGTCAGAGAGATCCATACACTAACACACAAGTTATGTCTGGAAGTTACAAAAATGCTTATTTTTGGCCCCTTTTTGGCCCCTAATTCCTTTACTGTTGGTTATATAACCCCCAAAATCAATCCCAACCTTCCTTTTGTGGTATTGAACCTTGTGGTAAAATTTCATAGAGATCCATTCACATAAACTAAAGTTAGAGTGCGAAAACCAATGTGTCTTCGGACGACACCGGACGACGACGACGACATACCAATAAAGGACCACAAAAACTTTTTCGAGGTCGTATAAAAATGACCCCCCCCACAGTACTATTCATGTAATTACGTTGATTTATGCACAAAATGATCAGAAATGTAGCTTCATGTGAATCACAATCAAAATGCAAATAATTACAAGTCATTTGCAAATTCAGGATCCTTAAATTTTGAGAGTTTTAATATTTTAGCTGAACAGTTATACAAAAATTCTTGTTTACAAATCATGTGTATGATGAATACTTTCAATATTGCAAGAAATGTTTAGTAATACACCAAGAAATATTGCATCACTTTTCAGTCGAATTAATAAATGTTTAATAACAAAAGAAAAGGAAATATCGAATGTGCAAATGCAAGGATCAACATTAAAGGATGATGACATCATAAGATTTAAATCTTTAAAATCAATTTTAATAGTAATAAATATATTTTTGATAACCATAGTCCTGCACATTGTAAGATGGACAAAAATTAACAATATTCTTGTAAAATTCCATATATCTCTGCAATATCGTTTTAAAATAAACTTGTCATTTGTCATAAATGAAAATGCAGATCAACAGTAAAATCAAAGGGATTTAAAATTACTCTTTAAACTTTTAACATTTTCTCCTTAAAAATTAGACAAAAAACCATCCTACAGTAACATTCAAACTGCTTATATCGCATCAATTTTTCTTTCATTCTAAAATTTACAATCATATAACATATTTAACAATAGAACAATCACAAAGAAACATATTTCAGTTTCAAATTTTGATCAAAGCACTAACAGTACTGTAGGCCTAGCACATGATTTCACAACAGAGACAGCACCAGATAGCACAATTAACATAAAACATTACTTTTAGCATATCCTTTTCACACACAATAAATATGAATATCATATATATATATATACAATATACTCAACAAACATTCAATATATGCTTTACAATATTCTTTTGAATTAACAGCCTAGCCTATGTATGTATAAATTATTTTCTTGCAAATGGTGACTGGTCATTTCTATTTTAATTTCATCAAGGGCTTCCTACATGTTAAATCTTTCATGTGTTGAATCCAATTTCCTCATATAGAAAAAATGTTTGTAATTTAGATCAATTCTATGGTAACTTATCATAAAATTGAATTAGAAATGAAACATTTGCAAGAGAACTTGTTATCACATCTATAGTTTTTGCTGTAACATATAAGTGACATCACACAGATACCATGTACATAGCAGTCACACTGTTGCTTATCACATTACACACATGTAGTTTACTACAAGGATCACAGCTTACATGACTAGTCAGATTGAAGAAGCAATCATTAGATTTAAAAAGGGGCTTTCAACTGACCTTTTTTTTATTACCTAGTTTTGAGGAAGAGACACAAAATTGGATTGAATGGTGCAAAAAACAATTTTACAAGGCTGTTAAATAGTCATTTTTTTAGCACAAGCATTAAGGTCAAAACAACCATTACTTTCTCGCTATTTTGGACTGCTTATTTTTCAATAACAAAACTCTATTTGGTTGGTAAAAACTTACTGAATGAGTCTTGTGGACAATTTTAATGAGATCATGTTACTTAAACTGACTTGATGTTAAAATTTAAAAAAATATTTTGTGATCTAGTTTTTGTCTTTTCTATATTTTTTGTCTTTTTTCCTCGTGTTAATTGTCAAATATTGTTCTTCTTTAACAAATTTTACCCCTTTGTAGCTACTGAATTTCCCCATTAAATTCGATATTTTTATATCAATAATTAATATAAATTATAGTAAAAATATCCAAAAGTGTCAATGAAAAGTAAATAACTAAAATATTTTAAGTTAAGTTTTTTTTTCAATCTTCTTTATTTTTCTCAAGTGAAATTACCAAATAATCATGATCAAATCAATTCATTATCACCTGGTAATATTGAACATATCACAATTGCACTTGCAAATTTTTTTTTAGTTTTTGCCGAATCATTCTTTCCACTGTCTGTTCTATAGGCAACAGGCAAATAACAGGAACATAACAAAAACAGCAGGTCATGAAACTATAATATGGAAATTATTATAAAGTGCTTCTTTCCTTACTAATATCAACAGCTAAATCCTTTGATTGTCAAATCTTCCTGTTTACATTTCTGGTTGGTAAAATTTGAAATACAAACCAACGTAACCCGGTATGATATTTCACAAAATAATTGTGTGGATAAGTATACTTTAGAATATCTTTATCACATAATATCCTTTTAAATCTTATATATACTGTTAAGTTAATTTTTATTTGGGGGTCAGAAATATTCTAAAGTATGCAGGCACATTTTTTTTTTATAATTTCTAACCAGTACTGGCCCAGTGATCACATTTTTTACTAGCTACTGGCCACAGTGACCTCAAATGAATTTTTACTGACCATAGCCATGATTATAAGAATTCCTCAATTTGAAAATAATCTAAATGAGTCTATGCAAATTCTGGCTGAAACTGAAGGTACTGAATCAGTCTGTTTGGCAATGGCAACCGCTGTATTATATCAGGGTACTGGAACTGTTGCAATATCCGGATACGACATCGGTTCTGCAGACTGCCAGCCGTGGGTAGTTTGTAAATCTGTAAATGGTCATATTGTGTTTCTTTGTCATTTAAAACTATTGCCATTCTACTACCACAGTTTGAAAATATTGGAAGGTAATTGACGGGACAAGAATGTATTGCACAAATGAAGCGATTGTACTGGATACAATGAAGAGTTTGTGTTGTGTCAGCATTGAATATATAAACACAAACATCAACTGGCTGCATGCGTCGTGCTCTTTTTTCACGACAACAACAACCTGCTCCACTCGAAACCATAATGGCAAAGATAAGATAGCCATCTTTGGCAAAGAATATATCTTTTAAATGTGGATTTAGACTAGAATGCATATCATCAACTCGTGGATTTGTACGCAGCACCGACCACGAATCTGTCTGCACCAAACTTAAACTGTTATCCTCTCCTCGTAGAAAACTTGTGGCAGCTATTCTAGATGAACTGAATCTTGGATCAAATGCAAATAAACTATGATGAAATGGCAGAGTGACCTCCCTTATCAGCTCTCGCTTCTTGAGACAAAATAACTGGAAGACAAATGCACTGTTATTGTCTGATTTTATGCTTGGAATTTTAATCAGGCACACGGTTCCATCAGGACTTATCTCCCCTCGCAAGGCCTCATTCACAAATTCAACATTCTTTTTACCAAACACGCCTAGGAATTTGTTTGTTTCCAAGTCAATAACACCAAATTGTGTCATCATGTTTCTGACTAGATGAAGAACGACTGTTGACTCATGATAGCATAAAACACTTTTGACATGAAAGTTTTGAATAGATGAGAGTTGTGCAGGAATATGATTGTACTCAAAATGTTCCGCCATCTTGGTGAACTTGTTGCGTCTACGGAAACTGAACAGTGAATGAGATTTGTTAAGATTGATGATACCCTGGCGGCTAATACAAAACGTAGGACTACAGTCTTTGAACACAACTCCATTGCATGACATTGTGGTCTCTGAAAATCCAGCAGCCTCTGAAACAGAACGATATTCACTGAATTATATTGAAAAAGAAGTAAGTACACATAAAAATGTACATTGTGTTATGTCAGCTCTAAAACGCAAAAATATACACAAAATATTTTTTTGAAAAACATGTGGACGCATAGAAATGTACAATGTGTTATTGACTGAATAAAATAGTCTTTTAATAGCTAACAGCTTCTAAAATAGAAAGGTAATCACTGCAGACTACATATGATTTAAATGCAAAACACAAGTGAGGACACATAGAAATGTAAAGTGAATCATGACTTAAGTACAAGTCGCCAATAGCAAACAGCTTCTTAAACATACACTGAATGAAAATCACTGCAGATTACATATAGTTTAAATGCAAAACAAGTATGGACACATAGAAATATACGCTTTGCTATTTGCAGAATAAAATGTCTCTGAAAAGCCAACAGCTTCTGAAACAGAAATTAAGACTTGATCTGAATGAGTATTCATAACAAGTTTGGACAAAATGAATATACCTACTCTGAAAATCCATAAACTTCTATAACAGAGATATATATTACTAATTAGAGTATATAGAGCCTGATAAACGTCCTGCTCCTGAGTGCAACTCTTGCCTAATTATTTTAGCCTAAGATTAATAAGTAATTTGTTTCCAATATTAACAAAATTTTATTTACAATTTCTTGTGTCAAATCATCCTGCAAACCAAATAATGTCATGAACAGTTGGGATGACAAATTATTGTTCCTTTTCCCATTGCATAAACCCAAAAAATTTAGTTTTTTAAAATAATTTGGGACAGAAAATTTTTTTTCATCTGCTTTCAATAAGAGTGGCCTCTCTTGGAAATTTTTATGGTTTTAGTTAAGCAGCAATCTACTAATCAATTTATTATTTTAGAGAAAAAAAAATTCATTTACTTAAAACTGTTTAGTCATTTTTATTTTAAAGTTTATAGCCTTTAAAGATTTAGATAAATATATATCATTTCCTGTACAATAGGATAACAGATTGTGGCCTTGACTTACTTGATATGCAATCATTTATCTTTATGAAATTTCAAAATGAAATAAAACATATTTATGTAAATGAAACAATCCATATGCACATGCCTCCTGGTAATTGTATGTTAAATGACAATTATGACAAAAACAGTTATATAGCACTCCTTACTTTTTCTAGAAACACAATTTATCAAAAAGGTCGAGCAATTAATCAGTAAAAACTAGTTTACTTTACACCTGTGTATTGGTTTAATTTCTACAGAACAATGTTATAAACAAGCAGTTAAATCTTAAACCTTTATTCTATATAGAATTAATAAAGAATGTAAATCACTATAATTCTGATAAAAATTAAGAAAATTGATATTAACAGTAAAATGGGTCTGTCTTTCATAATTGGACTTATTTTTTTCGTGGTTTTCATTTTGGCCTTGGACAGTTTTGATAATCTGATTTTGTCATTTTAGACTAAAATGCGATTTTAATTTTTGCGATATTGAGAAAAATCCTGTTTAATTCATATAAAAAAAAAATTAAATGCGAGTTTAAATTATTGCGATTATAACCCTGTCGCATTTTTCGCAATAATAAAAAGATCGTAATAATTTCTGAATTTACAGTAACATCATCCTTAATTAAACAGTACATATATATAGGACCCATTATAGCATCCTTCAGATCACCCTAACACAAACCTCCCATCATTATCATCTACAGTTAAAAATGAAAATTGTGTTTGAAGAGTTGATATCATGAAAGATTAGTTCTTCAGGTCTCTATCACGTGTCACTTCACATTTTTCAAGTATGAATGATGAACTCTTCACAACAAAATACATTTATCATTGATCTACTTAAATCATTCAGTTGGTTATCACATTATAAAATTTATAGTTTCATTGTTTTCTCATTGATAATTTGATGACAATTTGATTTTTTCAACTTCCTTAAAAATTTTCATTTACACAACTTTTACAGTCATTTCAATCAATCATAACTCACTTCACATAAACATGATAAATATTATCTTAAATGTGTGCAGAACCAACTTTCAGTAACTTCATGGATGTGTGCAAACCAACTTTCAGTAACTTTATGAATGTGTGCAAGACCAACTTAAAGTAATTTCCTGGATGTGTGCAAAACCAACTTTCAGTAACTCCATGGATGTGTGCAAAACCAACTTTCAGTAACTCCATGGATGTGTGCAAAACCAACTTTCAGTAACTCCATGGATGTGTGCAAAACCAACTTTCAGTAACTTCATGGATGTGTGCAAAACCAACTTTCAGTAACTTCATAGATGTGTGCAAAACCAACTTTCAGTAACATCATGGATGTGTGCAAGACCAACTTTCAGTAACATCATGGATGTGTGCAAAACCAACTTTCAGTAACTTCATGGATGTGTGCAAAACCAACTTCACGTAACTCCATGAATGTGTGCAAAACCAACTTTCAGTAACTCCATGGATGTGTGCAAAACCAACTTAAAGTAATTTCATGGATGTGTGCAAAACCAACTTTCAGTAACTCCATGGATGTGTGCAAAACCAACTTTCAGTAACTTCATAGATGTGTGCAAAACCAACTTTCAGTAACTTCATGAATGTGTGCAAGACCAACTTAAAGTAATTTCATGGATGTGTGCAAGACCCACTTGGAGTCATTTCATGGATGTGTGCAAAACCAACTTTCAGTTACTTCATTGATGTGTGCAAAACCAACTTAAAGTAATTTCATGGATGTGTGCAAGACCAACTTGGAGTAATTTCATGGATGTGTGCAAAACCAACTTTCAGTAACTTCATAGATGTGTGCAAAACCAAGTTTCAGTAAATTCATGGATGTGTGCAAAACCAACTTTCAGTAACTTCATTGATGTGTGCAAAACCAACTTAAAGTAATTTCATGGATGTGTGCAAGACCAACTTGGAGTAATTTCATGGATGTGTGCAAAACCAACTTTCAGTAACTTCATAGATGTGTGCAAAACCAACTTTCAGTAACTTCATGAATGTGTGCAAACCAACTTTCAGTAACTTTATAAATGTGTGCAAGAGTAGACCAACTTAAAGTAATTGCATGGATGTGTGCAAAACCAACTTTCAGTAACTTCATGGATGTGTGCAAAACCAACTTTCAGTAACTTCATGGATGTGTGCAAAACCAACTTTCAGTAACTTCACTGATGTGTGCAAGACCAACTTAAAGTAATTTCATGGATGTGTGCAAAACCAACTTTCAGTAACTTCATGGATGTGTGCAAAACCAACTTTCAGTAACTTCATGGATGTGTGCAATACCAACTTTTAGTAACTTTATGGATGTGTAATACCAACTTTCAGTAACTTCATGGATGTGTGCAAAACCAACTTTCAGTAACTTAATGAATGTGTGCAAGACCAACTTAAAGTAATTTCATTGATGTGTGCAAAACCAACTTTCAGTAACTCCATGGATGTGTGCAAGACCAACTTTCAGTAACTTCATAGATGTGTACAAAACCAACTTTCAGTAACTTCATGGATGTGTGCAAAACCAACTTTCAGTAACTTCAAAGATGTGTGCAAAACCAACTTTCAGTAACATCATGGATGTGTGCAAAACCAACTTTCAGTAACTTCATGGATGTGTGCAAAACCAACTTCCAGTAACTCCATGAATGTGTGCAAAACCAACTTTCAGTAACTCCATGGATGTGTGCAAGACCAACTTAAAGTAATTTCATGGATGTGTGCAAGACCAACTTGGAGTCATTTCATGGATGTGTGCAAAACCAACTTTCAGTTACTTCATTGATGTGTGCAAAACCAACTTAAAGTAATTTCATGGATGTGTGCAAGACCAACTTGGAGTAATTTCATGGATGTGTGCAAAACCAACTTTCAGTAACTTCAAAGATGTGTGCAAAACCAAGTTTCAGTAACTTCATGGATGTGTGCAAAACCAACTTTCAGTAACTTCATGAATGTGTGCAAACCAACTTTCAGTAACTTTATGAACGTGTGCAAGACCAACTTAAAGTAATTTCATGGATGTGTGCAAAACCAACTTTCAGTAACTTCATGGATGTGTGCAAAACCAACTTTCAGTAACTTCATGGATGTGTGCAAAACCAACTTTCAGTAACTTCATTGATGTGTGCAAAACCAACTTAAAGTAATTTCATGGATGTGTGCAAAACCAACTTTCAGTAATTTCATGGATGTGTGCAAAACCAATTTCAGTAACTTCATGGATGTGTGCAAAACCAACTTTCAGTAACTTCATAGATGTTTGACAGTAACAGAGACCCTTAAAACTGGCATTTGATTAAAGAGCAAATTCTATTGGCTTTAATTTCATCTTAAAGTGATTTTTTTTTAAATTTTGGTATCATCCCCCAATTTCAATAAATTAGAAAGAGAAACAGTATTAAAAGATTTTTTATAGTCTGTTTAATTTAGACATAGGGGCGATATAGAGCTTGATAAAGTTTATAGACACTTGTCTATTGTCCATGTCCACAGGCACTCGTCTATTGTCCATGTCCACAGGCACTCGTCTATTGTCCATGTCCACAGGCACTCGTCTATTGTCCATGGACACAGGCACTCGTCTATTGTCCATGGACACAGGCACTCGTCTATTGTCCATGGACACAGGCACTCGTCTATTGTCCATGTCCACAGGCACTCGTCTATTGTCCATGTCCACAGGCACTCGTCTATTGTCCATGGACACAGGCACTCGTCTATTGTCCATGGACACAGGCACTCGTCTATTGTCCATGGACACAGGCACTCGTCTATTGTCCATGGACACAGGCACTCGTCTATTGTCCATGGACACAGGCACTCGTCTATTGTCCATGGACACAGGCACTCGTCTATTGTCCATGTCCACAGGCACTCGTCTATTGTCCATGGACACAGGCACTCGTCTATTGTCCATGGACACAGGCACTCGTCTATTGTCCATGGACACAGGCACTCGTCTATTGTCCATGGACACAGGCACTCGTCT